CGACGCTGGTCGAAGAGACGGCGACNCTTGCGGTTCCGGATCCAAGCTACTGGTGTTCGACTGCTGCTCAGTATGTAGGATCGATGCGTCGGAATTTGTGCGTCCATGCTAACTAGTATTCAGCTACTATATCAACCCTCCGGGTATTGGCACGGAGACCGCCTGTGTGTGGGGTACCTCTGCAAACCCCTACGGTAACTGGTCTCCTTACGTAGCGGGTGCAAATACGGATGGCGATGGGAATACTTTTGTGAAGCTCGGCTGGAACCCTATTTATCTCGAACCTTCGACGCCATTCCGCGATCAAGTCCCTGAATTTGGCGTGGAGATTGTTTGCGAAGGCGACGGCTGCAATGGTCTCCCGTGCAAGATCGACCCCGCTGTCCATGCTGTCAACAAGATGGAGGGCAAGAGCTCTGAAGGGGCTGGTGGTGCCTCGTTTTGCGTCGTGACGGTTCCTTCGGGTGGCAAGGCCAATATCGTCGTTTTTGGAAAAGGCGATAGCAGCTCTTCCCCGAGTTCGTCTGCTCCAGTCAGCTCCAGCAGCAGTGTGTCTAGTTCGTCTAGCTCGTCGACCTCAACTACCAGCTCCACTTCAGCGAGTAGCACGGTGACCACGACTTCGACTTCCACTAAAAGCTCCAGTACCAGCACTAGCACCAGCACCAGCACCAGCACCAGCAGCACGAGCACGAGCTCGAGTTCTAGATACAGCTCCAGCTTGAATCTCACACCTAGCTCTGTCACGGCGTCCAGCTCCAAGGTGACGCAATCATGGAGCAGCGAGGATGCTCAGAACTCTTCTGCAAGCTACACCTATGCGCCCCATGTCTTCGTTGAGGGTCCGTCCTCGGCCGCGGCAGAGCCTACACAAACAGCAGCTGGGTCTTCGGCCGCCGCTCAGTCCACGCAGCACGGCGCTGCTTCTCTCACTGCTGTCTCCATGCTGAGCCTGTGTCTCGGTTCGTTGGCTGCCGTTGTCCTGTTGAACTTCTAGTTTGATAGTCTCGAAGTTCTTCAACTTCACTTGATTGTGAAGGACCCTCTGCCTGATTGAGACAAGCTTCTGGCCACCTGCTCCGACCGGCACGATCTCTAATCTCAGTCCGTATGGCCCTCAAACTTTCGGTTGTCAGGATCTCCCCCCTTACGATGAGATTCACGTGTGCAAATTTACCCTTTACCCCTTGACGACTTCTCACTTCTATATTCAACTATTCTTGGAATTTATCCTTCGACCTGACGTCTTTTTTTTGATCACTTACGACCTGATACCCTTTATATCTTTGACTTCTCGGATCGGGTTTTTGCCTTTACGAACTATTCGGGGACTATTGATCAGTGACCGGACGACTTCGGACATGCAGGTACCTGGCAAGTTTGACGTGCTTGCAGATGATGATTGTATAAAATATTTGACCTTTTAATTAATGTTTGATATATTGGCATGTCTTGTTTATATACTCTGCCCACGGATCCTGACAACTGGAAGACGCATTCATAAGGGAGGGCTTTGGCCGGAGCAAAGAAAGCAGGTGAAAATGCAGAGAGGGCACCAGAAAAAAGCACACTGTTTTGATAGCAGGTTCAAACATTGCCTCTTCAATTATTTACACTTTTATCATTTGTTGTTCTTTTTTTGTTCTTTTTTTGATTCTTTTTCTCCCCTTTCCTTCCCGGCTGGTTCCGTTCGGTCCTGTCCTGGATAGACGAACCCGGCTGTCTTTGAGAGTACAGCATCAGTACCAACTGTGCTGGCTATCTATTTATCTTGATCTTTTCTTTTTTAACTTTCCCTTCTATGTAGATATCTATTTGTTTATTCGTTCGATAATAACTAATGCAGGTCATGCTGTTACGGATGCATGCAGTCAAGCATTATGTTATCTTTGAAATGGTACTCCGTAGGTTCAACACTAGCAGAAATTCTAGAAACCAGCAATCACGCCTTACGGGGTATTAGAGACCAGTAAGGAGAGCGAACGAGGCAAATGATCGTCCGTCGATCATTAATTTAATTAAAACGGCTGCTGTCAGCCCTCACGAGTCACGAGTCACCAGTGGCAGTGTTTAGGAGTTAGGACTCGGAGTAATATCCGACCCGTCTGACACAGCACTCTGCCTTCGGAACGTGGCTCGGCTGTGCTGATCACAGACGGACGATCAGCACCTATGTACTCCGTATGTACTGACTGTACGGAGTACTTCCAGAGCAGGGGTCTGTGTATGTAGAGTCAGGAGGTAGGCAACAACGGAAAACGGACACACGGGTAGATGTCAATACGTATGTATTGTAGAGTGAGAAGCGCATGCGAAGCTTGTCCAATTCCAAAAGAAACTGCTATATTCTAAACTGTAGTATAAATATGATCTTTCCTATATTCATTCATTTCAGCATGACCTGCACGCCGACACTATCCAGATTCTTCGGACGCGGGAGGAAGAGGTCGTGCTTCATGTCGATGTCGTCCTCCCGCGTTGTCTTGTACAGCTCGATCTTGTCGAAGCGGCGGAAGAACGTGGCGAGGGTGATGAAGATCTCTGCTCGGGCGAGGCTGTTCGTACAGTACAGTAGTAATTGGTATCTATCTACGCATCTGTGGTAGTCGTGATGTCTACGTAGAGGCTTGCTTACTTCATTCCGACGCATTGTCGTGAACCCTTGGAAAATGCCACCATGTATTTGTCCAGTCGGCGCCGTTCGGCCGGGTCGAGCCATCGCTCCGGGATGAATTTGTGCGAATCCGGGAAGATGGATTCGTTGTGATGGAGGAGGTAAGATGTCATTCCGACGGGGGTCTAGAGGGTGATACATTTGTGAGTGAGACAACAACAATAATAATGGGGGTAAGTTAGATAGATGAGAAATGGAGTGCTTACACCCGGTGGAATGGTGTATTCACCGTATCTTAGAGTCTCGCTGGGTGCTATTCGCTGAAGTCGAGTGGAGGGACCGTATGATAGTCTGGCGAAAGTAAGTTGGGGCACTGATACCATGCTCCCAAGCGGATATCAGAACATACCTCAGACCTTCAAGAACAACGGATGACTGTTAGAGCAGATTGTTAGTTACAATCGTAACGATATTGGATAACGATACATACAAGATAAGGCAAATTTTCCAAATCTCGCAGACTTAATTGCGCATTTCGGTCCGGGTTCAACTGATCGAGCTCGTCCCGCATCTTCTGCAATTTATCAGGATTGTCGAGCAGATGGAAAGAGATCACGGTCAGCGCGAATGTAGTTGTTTCGGTCCCCGCTCCGATCACTGACTGGCATTCATCCGCAAGTCGATCAAAGGTCTTCTCCTGCGGCGGCAGATCCGAATCGAGCAGCTCGTGGAATAGCGTCGGCTGCGTCGACATCTTCTGACTCGCCTTCGCCGCCGATTTCTCCCTGTCCTGCATGATCTCTCGGATCTTGGCCTCACAGCTTTTGTTGTACCACATGACCATCCCCATGCCTGGGTTTATCGCCGCCACCCACGGCTGCGGAATGGATTTCAACAGAGGCAGGATGAACGGAATGTACTTGGCCAGGATTCCTACTTCGGGAACGGAGCGCAGTGTCTTGCCCCAGTGGGGAACCCAGTCCGGCTCCTCTAGATAATGATAGCTTTCCGTCATGATGTATTCTGTCAGAACGTCTGTAATGAGACAGGAGAACCCTGTGGTCAACGGGACCGGCTGACCGGCACGTTTGAAGTCTTCAGCACGCTCGCACATCCGTCGAGCCAGAGTGTGGATCATCGGCTCCAAACGAAGGATTCGCTGTTTGGAGAAGAACGGATTGAGGGAGGCCCGACGGATGCGATGCAAATAGTGCTTCTCCGTTCCAAACGTCGACTTGTGAAGATCGAAAATATTAAGTAAGAACCGAGACTTGTCCCTCGGTGAGTGCTGTGAATAAAGCGTGTCGTAGAACTCTGGGTCATTGACGTGCAGCTCATACGGATTGATCCGGATGATAGGACCTGATATATTGTGCATAACCAAGGATCAGTGAATTGAAAATGCAAAACTCAGGTGCTCAATCCTCATGATGAGCATCCGTCGCACGAACCATATTTCTCATGAAGCTCTTTGATTTTGAACGTATATTGACCTCGACAGATCACGTCGTAATAGAACTCGTACAACAGCGTCGCCGCTGCAAGCTTGGGGCCTGGAAACTTGGCGAGCGGAGAGAAATAGAGTCGATACACAATTATGCCGGCGAGATAGAGGAATGCGATACCTGCCAGGACACAGGCCGTCTGCATCTGCGAAAGATCCATCATGTACCTCGTAGTTATCAAAAAGACGATAGATGAGAATAAAGACAACCACAAAAGTGTACTCCCTAATGGCGTCAGGAAATATTCTATTCTAGAGCCCCAGCGGAGCGTACACAGCGGTTTCCTCCATATCTGCCCGTATTTGACAACCCCCACCTTGTTGTACGCTGTACAGAGACTCCGTAATTACCTGTAAGCTTTTGAGTGACACTTCATCTCGCTCCAGTCCGGGCAGCTTAGGTCGATCGGAAGCGTCATTAGCAGCAGCGTGGTTGGCTCGGGATCACCGGTATCAACCACGGAGTTGGTAATTAGGGGTTGCGGAAACCCTAACCGACCCACCACAAGGGCACCTCCTTACTTAAGGCCTGCATTCGCCGCAAGAGAGAACCAATTAGACCGAATAATAAATTGTTAGCGACTCTGGTTGGACCGCACTTGAATAGGATCGCCAGTTGGGTGGTAGGATTTCGCGAGACCGCATTTTCGAATTTTGTACATATTGCCTATGAGAGAAAGACGACGAGAATGATGCACCCTTTTTGAAACGAATTTGAAAGAATTCGGTTAACTGACCCTCGAAAGGAACGGCAATTGATGTTTGAATTTTTAGTGTCCAGCGAGTGGGAAAATAAAGGTAGCCGAAAGAATGACATGTGGTCTTCGAGCAGGACGTGCGGCCCCTATCAAGCCGTTGCTTAGCTTCAGTCAAAAAGGGAAAAAAAAATTTTCTCTGCACAAGAAAGAAGAACTATTTTTTTTTAAAAAAAAGCATTGCCTGGGACTGGTATTCTGAGAGAGCAGGGCAATGGATCAGCCATAGATCCTTGATGTTGTATCAAGAATGATAGTGGCTAGGACCTCACATTCCCCGATAATGGGGAGCTGCTGATGGTTCGACTTGGATCTTGGGGGTGTATGGATCAAGCAAGGTCTGACTGTCTGCCTGCATTTCGTTTTCTGGGAACAGTTAGCTAACGAGACATAGTGAGGCGGACCAGCAGAGGGAATGGTTATGAGATTTGAAGTGTGCTCCTCTTTTGATGGATAGATTCCATGGTGACTCTCTGACTCTCTTCGAGGAACTTCCCTCGATGGATTGGAGATCAGTGCAAGGGTGGCTTCATTTTCGAGGGCTCTGTCTCTGTCTGTTTCTGTAGGTGGGTAGGTGATCATCTGAAACGCGTGGAGTTTTGTGAGTCATGAAGGTGATGAAGATACAAGTACGTCAAATTGGCTGTCAACAGAAGGAACGACCATGGGGAGCAGTGTCCATGTGGAGGGGACGGGCCAGCTCACGTGTGAGAATCGTGGGATGGAGGCACGATATGGGCAGGCAAAAAGGGAGGGAGAATCAAACAACGAGAATGCTTCAGGTAGTTCAGCGTGGGCGAGCGATCGAGGGAAAAAAAAAAGAAAGGCCTGGGCTGGCTGCGAGTGCGAGTCGAACTGGAGACCTTGGGAAGGGTTATATATCAGTATAAAGAAGACCTGGTAACCCCCCAAAGGCTCGTCACGAGGTCGAATGGAAAAGATGGCTGTTATGAGTGCCTCCCGGACCCATCTCCATGGCCCTCTTGAGTTCCTTGGGGGAGGCTTGGCTGGGTGGTCAGGTCAAAGCAATGGCGGCACTGTGGGCAGCCATTCAGTTAAGCTCCTTCTTTTTTTAATTACCTTGATAGATTCCAGTTGTGCTCTTTTTTTTCTTTTTTTTTCAATTGATACTGAGACAGCTCAGTGAGGACAGACTGAACCGCCTTAGAATCCGTTTTGGGAAAACAGACAGTCGACACCCATATCTTTATATACCAGTCTGCATTCATAACAGAGTTATTCATAACAGAGTTTTAGTCAAACGATCCCAATCAATTCCAATCAATTGAGCCCGTTGCCTTCGTAAAAGCACAAGTTAGACAATTTCTGCAGTTGAATTTCTACTGGATCATTATGGAAATCGAATTTCTGCCTTGATTGCGTACAGCACTTCTTGTTCTCTGACCTTGTAGTTTTATCCTGTATTGATTCTCGTACGTAAAGAATTTTTTTTATTTTATATTTTGTCTACAACTAGAAATAGACGTACCTTCGTGAGTTGGTATACTCTGTACAATGTAGTTCGTCCCGGCCGACGTCACTTCCAGGCAGATAAGATAACGGACCCGCTCTGATCCAGCCGCGTCACGCACCAAGGCATCCATCCATACGTCCACCGCGATCGCAACACCACTCTCCCAGCCAGGAGACATTTCATCCTCCAGAATGCCACCATCACCACAGACAGTGAGTGCTCGAAACTGGGAGATCTTCTCTCATTCATGTTGCATCCTCCCGGACAAGTGTCCATTGTCCCTCACCCCTCCTTTACTTTTACCCCGCAGTCGTCTGCCGCCATTTCCAGCTTTAAAGTAAAGGACGTTTGCTGACAGGTTTTCGCATCTCAGACCAGACTGCAGTCCACACTCCGGCTGCTGATTCCGCGCCTGCGACTTCTCCAGAAGAAAGACACGGCTTCATCGGTGGCCCAGCGCCGGGAGCTGGCGCAGCTGCTGGACAATGGCCGCGAAGCCTCCGCCCGCATCCGCGTGGAGAACGTGATCGCCAATGACATCGCCGTCGAGGTGATGGAGATGATTGAATTATACTGCGAACTTCTGCTCGCCCGCGCGACGGTGCTGGATCAGATCGCATTCTCGGAGAAGGGTGCGCGTGCGCGAAGCAAGGCCAGAGAGACGGTCAAGGCGGAGAGTGGTGCGACGGAGAGCCGCGGTCTGGGGCTGGGGTTCTCGAGATCGTTTGGCCGATCGACAGATCAGAAACAGGACGACCCGGCAAAGTCAAAGCAAACGGAGTCTACTGCTGGCGAGCAGGAGGAGGAGGGTGAGTTCTATATTGACCCCGGTCTGGACGAGGCTGCTGCTGCGATCTTCTACGCGTGGCCCCGGTTCCCGCGAGAAGTGCGCGAATTGACGACGCTTCGCTCGCTGCTGGTCGATCGCTGGGGGAGGGATTTTGCGGCCCTGGCACAAGATAACAAGGCGGCAGTCAAGGTTCCCGAGAGACTGGTCAAGCGACTCCGGGTGCGCCCGCCACCGCCGGAGCTGGTAGAAAGCTATCTGAGAGAGATTGCCAAAGCGTATGGCGTTGCGTGGCCTAAGGAAGAAGCGACTGCGGAGGACAAGAAGGAGACGTTGGACAAACCACCGGACTACCCAGGCGACGGCGATGTCGCTGAAGGGGATGAATCTCAGCGGCAGCAACGAGAATCCCCATCTACGCCTCAAAAGGCCAACCTGGCAGAGATAAGACGAGCCTCCGAGGCGGACGAGCTCAGCAGAGTGACACCACCACGAGACATCGGACCTCATGACGTGACGGGGAGGAGCCCCGTCAGCGTGGCACCGCCAGGGCCGAGCAGCGACAACCCGAACCCGAGGGTGAAGATCCCCGGCGAGCAGAATGCTGCGGCAACAGTTCAGCCAGCGTCTCCACCGAGAAAGGACAGCAAAGGGATACCGGATGTAGATGAACTGGCAAGGCGATTTGCGGCATTAAAGCGATAGCAGTAGTCATTGTCAGAAACGTGAATAACTAAGTAGCATACCCTATAGCAGTGGAACTCGGAGCCGTATCTGCATGTTGCATATTCTCCTGCCTGCATTTTTCCCCTTTCCCTTCTCATGCCATCTACAGTAGTAAATTTTCATTCATTCGAGCTCAGGTAGTAAGTATTCCCAGAAGCAGCCTCAGTCTCAGCACGATGGAATCCCGGAATAACACACTCCAATCTTTTTTTACGTATTTCGTTTATCCTTTTTTTCCGGCAAAAAAAAAAGAAGGAGGCTTTCTTCCTAAGTATGTACATGCACTGCACAGATCTATGTGCTGCTTGATAGACTAGTCCCAAGTTGATAAGTTCAACAGAGCCGACTAGTCGATTATTGACCTCTCCGTTTGCAACACAAGCAAGCCTTCTTGCTATATGCAATCAATCCATTTTATAGTAGTGCAGCTATGCATATATGCTTTTTTTTATTTTATTTATTTTATTTATTCATTTCAATTAATTCTATCCCTATGTAAATAAAAATAAGATGACGAAGAAAGAAAGAAAGAAAATGATGAGTATGAGGAGGAGGGCCCCGTCTGTGTGTTCCCAGGTAAAAAGAAAAAGAAACGAAAGAAAAGAAAACACCCCCCGTACTCCATGCAGGTATGCAAGTACAGTATATCCCACGCATATCCATGCACAGTACATATACATATACATATATATATGCAGAACAGGATTAAAAAAAAGTCGGTGGGAACGAAGGGGGAAAAAAAATCTATTCTATGACTCAACCTCCTCTTCACCAGGAAGAATAATCTCATGACCCGACCCTTCATACACGAAAATCGCCGCGATACAGCCCAAAATCGACACGAGCGCGATCATCCACCACGCGAACCCTACCACGCCGATATCCAACCCGTAACCGTACCATGCGCCCGAGAACACGGGCCCTACCGTCCGGAAGGCCGACGAGACTGACTGGCCGATGCCGTGGATCGTGCCCAGCACGGACGGATGCGGCGAGCAGTTGTTTAGCAGGATGATGGACGTCGGCAGGGTGAAGGTGCGGGCTGTGACTTGGAGGAAGAGCACGAGGACGATGAGCAGCCATACCCAGAAGCCCGTTGCCTGCGCGGGCGGCGGCGACGACGACGGCGCCAGCGACACGTACGGCGCAAAGGCGTACGCCAGCGGAAACAGCCACAGGAAGTACTGGTAGCTCTTGGCCGTGCCCAGCCTGGCCGTGATCCGCGGGTAGATGGTGAACTGCAGCAGCATGCCGATCACGCCCAGGATCGAGGTCGCCAGGCCTACGCTCTGCGGTGGCATGCCCAGGCCGCCTGTGAAGATGAAGGGCAGATAGCGCGTTGGACTGGTTGGGTCTTCGGGGTTGTATCTCGGTGTCGAGAGGAAGAGAAGCCAGAGGTTGTTGAAGGCGCTGTTAACAGGTTAGTTCATTAAACCTATACTCAAGTGTGACGATCTGCGCACCCCATTTGAAAGTCGAAAAACGCCTGTGCCAACAGCGTGCACAGGACGTTCTTGGTCCAGATCCGCCGGAACGGCAGTACGCGAACCACCCGCTTGGGCTTCCCGGCCTTGGCTTCGAGCTCGTAGCTCTCGCCTGGCTCTGCTGGCGATTGCTCGAGGAGGCCCTCCTCCTCCGTCAGGTCCTGCAGCGGGAGTTTGGAGTACACGGCGGACGAGGGCGGCACAACCGCCTTCAAGCCTCGTGTAAACATCCTCACCGCGAGGGCTCCCAGGCCTGGTCTACCCTTGCAGGCTTCCAGTGTCTGTCAAGTGTCAGCTTTTCGCCCTCCCTCTTCTTTTTCTAGTTTTTCGACAAGGCAAGACCTACCTCCTCCAAACCGACGGCAACCAACGTCGCACACAGCATCAACAAGAAAAAGTTCAGCAACATGGGCAGGGAATACGGATACTTTTCGAGCCACTGAACTCCATTGGCGCCACCCAACGGAGAATTTGGGCCAAAGATCTGGGGATAAGTCGCTACTGGATCTGACAGCAGTCCTCCCAGAACTAATAATCTTCAAGTTAGTCAATATTCAAAATTGACGCAAGTCGTCTCACCTGGTCCAAAGAGAGCGGCAATGTTGAACCCAATGGGCAGGATCAGGAACGCGCGCGAGTGGTATTTCTTCTCCTTCACGTTCTCGGCGATCATAGTCCGGATGATGCCCACGGTGCCGTTGATGGCGCCGCCAAACGAGCGCCAGAAGACGGCCTGGCCAAACGACGTTGCGAAGGCGACGCCCAGGCACGAGATGGCCGTCCCGATCAGCCCGACCAGCAGGACGAACTTGCGGCCTCCCCACTGCGCATCAGCGACACGGCCCCAGGGGATGGCGGTCGCGAACTGGGCGGCAGTAAACGCGCCCTGGAGGATGCCGGCCTGGGTCGAGACGTCGGCGTCGGAGAGGGTCTCGTCGAACGACTTGAGCTGGTAGAACATGTACGCCTGCAACGAGGCTATCTGCAAGAAGTCGAAGACGCGACAGAGGCCCAGAATGGCGAGCTGGCTCTTTCTCGGCAGCGACATCCATGTCACGGGCGCTGGTCGTGAAGAAGAAGAAGAAGAA